GAGAGTGAGTTTGGCTCTCCAAATTTGGAGAGCCAAACCCACTCTCTAAATTAAAATCTTAATTTAAAGAGTCTATTGGAGCATGATTTTACATGTTGACTCTTTAAAATAGAGAGCATCTCATATTTAAAGAGTCTGTTGAAGATGCTCTTAGTTAATACCTAATGTATTCATTTGCTTTTATTATCTATTAGGTATTAATCAAGAATTTTGGGGAAGATGAAGAAGATAATGTAAAAAAATCATTAACACTAAAAAAATAAATATATACTTCCAATTCATAAGAAAATCATATAATTTAATTTAGAAAAATTTAATCTCATCCAAATTTGCAGTTGATTAGGTTTTCCACAATTCTCGGTAGAAAGTAATTTTTATTTGAAATCTTGTTTTCGTTGATTAGTTGTATTTAATAGTTGTTATTTTTGACATTTTGTGACGTTCTCGACATTTGAAAAGTTGTAATCGACATTTGGAATCTGTTTATTTTGACACTTCAATTGTTTATAACATGATTTAGTTTTGAACATGAGAGTTCTCTACATTTTATAATGTTCTCGACATTTCATAAATGTTTTATTTACCCACTTTTAAGGAAAAGTGAACATTTAATGTATGATTGACATGATAATTTTTAAAATGAGTAGTATAGGTTATGTATCAAGTTATTATTGGTCAATATAATTTTTAATTATATAAATAATTTTATCTTCATTATGGAATTTAAAATTGTTAATGAAGGCACATTGAAGAAATTTTGGACATTTTTGCAAATGGCCATGTAAAAGTGGACATTTTTTTTATTTTTTTTTTGCAATTTCCTCTTTTTTAAAAAAAAAATTATTTCATGTATATGTTACCGTTTTACCCATTTTAAAATTAGTGAAAATAAGTTGAGTGGTCATAATGAAGCGTTATATGAAATTGGGTGGTTATGATGAAACGTTACATGTAATTGGATGGTTATTGTGAAATAAAATCAAATTGAGTGATTATGGTGATACTAAATATAAAATTTGATGACTATGATGAAACAAAATCAAATTAAACGATCATGATGACATTAAATAAAAAGTTGGATGACCATCAGTGAATTTAACCTAATGAATAAAACCAACGCTTTAAATTTTTATGGCTATTTTCATTTTACCTCAAGGAGATGACCATCAAAATTAGAAGATAGACTTGAAGGTCTTGAACGATATTGGATCAAAATATAAAGAAGAAATGGATGAACTCATCTGAAATCTACATAATTTGCACCTTTACTAAAGCAAACCTATCAGCAAAAGAAATATTCTCAGGTACATAAATAATTAAAGTGTTAAACTATTTGTACAGCGATTTTGTACAACTGATTTGACAATTCATGATGTATAAATATCATGATCATTTATTCAAAGGTTTTGACATATGCATATAAAAGTTTATATAATGGAATTACATAATATCACGTGACACTGTATCATTTGTCAATTAAAGTACAGTCAATCTTTTCATTTATTCTTTTTCCTCCACATTATTTTATATAATCTTTTATGTATCATTTTCATGTACAAATAACACGATCATTTATTCAAATCAATAGTCAAATTGCCTATCAATTCGTTGATTGTTAAGCTAATTGTTGCAAAACTCAATAATTAATCATTTTCATTCCGTCTTAAAAGCTAATCATTGTAATTAAGGTGCATCCCATGAACTTAGACTGCATTTCCTTTTTCATTGGACAACATGACGATAGCTGTATCACACAAGGAAGAGACGATAATCTGAATTTAGTAGAGATTAAAATTAGATTATTAATATATTTTAATAAAAATTGATGAAATATTTTTTAAAAAAAAATTGTGGATAAAATTAACATTTTTGTCTCTTCAAGAATAGAACTATTCTCACATGACTTCAATTTTTTTCATAAAATCCGATCTTTGATCCATTTTCACCCATACTTTGGCTATGTTTCAATAAAACAAGAAGCAAAAACCTAGCATATCATCTTAAACCAAGATCCAAAAACCAGCAGAAACAGAAAATATTAATTGCCATAATTGAAATGTCTACTTCTGATACACCATTATTAGACCCTTTACAGCAACAGCAACCACCGCCAATGGTGGTGGCTGCTCAACAGGCCTCCACAGCTCATTCGGGTCATGGGTCGGTTGGACCCGTTATTGGGGTTCTNAACCACCGCCAATGGGGGTGGCTGCCCAACAGGCCTCCACAGCTCATTCGGGGCATGGGTCCGTTGGACCCGTTATTGGGGTTCTTGCAGTGATAGCAATACTGGGTGCAATTGCTGTGATGATTGGCAGGCTTTGTTCCGGTCGGAGAATAATGGGTCTTGGCCGGTACGATGTTGAAGAATGGGCCGAGGCTAAATGCGCTTCTTGCATTGATGGCCGTGTTTTTCCTCCCCATCCTCCACCCTTGGTGGTGGAGCACAGTGTCAGCGGCTCATCCGGCGAAGCTCTCCCGGCAGTGGTGCCGCAAGAAGAAATACAAACACTTGAAGAAGATAAAGTCCCGGAACAACAAAGTAACTTGCAAAACTAAAATCATCAACTGAACGTGAAAGAACTCAATCTTGACTCTTGAAGTGAGTTGTTCATTCTATTAAGCATCCTTGTATTTTTTTATTTTTTTTGGATTCTTAGACAATATTCTCCTCTTGCGAAATGGGATTAACTTCTCTATTATTTTTGGGGTGTAATTTAAATTAATTTTGTTTGGAAATTTCGAGTTAAGTTGGTTAATTTCCAAAATTAATCATTTTTTAAAAATTTTAGAAAACTATTTATGACATTTGACCAAAATGATAAATAAATAAATGTTGCAGTGAGTCAGAAAGTTTACTAATATAACAGACATGACTTCATGCAAAAAAGAGAGTTTGACCGTAGTTTTGTCAGCGAATAATTGCAGTGGCAGTTGCATGGGTGGCGGAAATCCCAAAGGCCACAGCCCTCGGCGATCCTGCAACCAC